TATTATTTTATCTTATGTTTATCTTTATAAGACAGCACCTTAATATGGGCATTTATAATTTCAGCATTTAATTAACTTTGTACCGACTGACCTGAAGATGCTTTGCCAATTGTAGAAAGCGAAACCGGTCGTCTAGGTAGTTAAAGTAAACTGATTGTGAGTAAGTCTTATCTATTTCTTTTTACCTACTTCAAACTCAGTTTATATATCCTCAAAAAATTGTATGATTAAAAAAAGAGTACATAAATGAAAAGTTGAAATGTTATGTCTGTATTCTTTTATAGTTGTATTTACAAACGCCTATATATCTCAGAACTAACAAAACTGGATTTACGCTACTTTTATTCTGACTGGATCATATATAAACATCGGTTTAAAACATTCTGTGTTTTAAGATTTTCAATCCCCAGACATCTTTATCATTCAAGCAGTGCTGGATAAAGGTGCGGGCAAGCCGGGTGACTGCTCGGGCGCCAATATAAAAAAATATTTTTTAGATTTATTATTTTTTTAGATTTTATACATTAAACTTGATAATTTTTCATGAGACTAAGATAAAGTCCAATTGATTCATTTGTATTTTTTGGGTTTCTCTTCATAGTTTTTGCAGTGCATTGACTAGTTCTGTTTTATGAAGTGGATATATGCTTTGTTGCCACTTTCGCCTTAGCTTCCTATTTTCTTATTTATATCTCCTATTTCTTTTGAGTAATTTTTTACTTCTATTCGAGTTAGGTGGTTGGTGTATTCCATGCTTGTTTCTTGGATCTGTTTTATGACTACTTTATTTCGTGGTCAAGTTATTCGATTATTTTTACCTTTACAGACAGGTTAATAATTGCTTTCAGTTCTTGTTTATGCTTTCCCAATCAATCCTTCTGTTAACGAGACGTAGGAGATAATTTTTGTATCGCTTCTTAACTGATTGTTATAAGGATGGGAGAATGAACTGAATTCATATCCAATACCTCCTCCATTTTCAAAAGGTTTGATGCCATATTTCTCAATATGAAGTCAATTATCATGAGACACTAATTAAATAATTGTAATACTATCTAGTATTGCGAGAAATGGGCAAAGAATGCGAAATAATAAACACAATAAAAATAAGAAAGGTACAATATCTGGGACACGTAATGAGGGGACAGCGATATGAACTGCTAATGCTGATAATGCAGAGAAAGATAAGAGGAGGAAGGAATATAGAAAGGGAAGTGTCATGGTTGAAGAATTTAAGGAACTGGTTCAAATGCAGTTCTATAGAACTCTTTAGAGCAGCAGTAAATAAAGTAAATATAGTGATGATACTAACTCTGATTGGGAGACGGCACTTAAAGAAGAAGAATATTATTTATATTTATAATTATATATATATTGTTATGTACAATTTTTGACAAATTGAATAACAAAAAATCTTGTATGTAACACATACACATGAACAGGAATCTTCTTCTTCTTCAAGTGCCATTTCCATGGCGGAGGTCGGCAATCATCATAGCTATTCGGACTTTTGAGACGGCTGCTCTGAAAAGTTCATTTGATGTACATCCGTACCACTATCTCAGGTTGCGCAGCCATGACATTCTACGCCTCCCTATGCTTCTCTTTACTTGGATCTTTCCTGCATAATCAGTTAGAGCAAGGTATATTTCTCTCCACGTGTAATATGTTCGAGATATTCTAATTTTCTTGTTTTAATTGTATTTAAAATTTTCATTTCTTTATTCATCCTTCTCAGAACCTCTTTGTTTGTGACGTGTTCTGTCCACGATATTTTCAGAATTCTTCTATACACCCACAGCTCGAATGATTCCAGTTTTTTCATTGATGTCGCATTCAAGGTCCAGGATTCCATTCCATAAAATAAAGTCGAAAAAACATAGCACCTCGCCAACCTAACTCTTAGTTCCAGTTTTAAATCCTTGGTACAGAGCACTCTTCTCATTTTGTTGAAATTTGCTCTAGCCTTTTCTATTCTTATTTTGATCTCCTGAATGTAATCATTTGTGGAGTTAATCATTGTCCCCAGATATGCGTATTTGTCCACTTGTTCGACGTTGTTCGTTTATTAAAGATTCTCGTTATTCTTTGAGTTTTCGATATTCTCATAAATTTCGTCTTCTTGACATTCATTGTTAGACCATACTCTTTTCCATACTCTGCTATTCTGGTCACCAGTCTCTGAAGATCTTCAATGTTTTCGGCTAAGATCACAGTGTCGTCCGCATATCTAATGTTGTTAATGGGAACTCCATTTACCTTTATTCCAGCTGTTTCACCCTCAAGAGCGTTTTTTCAGGATCTCTTCGGAGTAGGCATTAAAAAGAATTGGCGACAATACGCATCCCTGTCTCACTCCACATCTAATTTCAATTTCTTCTGACAGCTGTTCGTTAACACGTACTTTTGCTCGCTGTTTATAGTATAAATTTGATATGATCCTGAGGTCGTTGTAGTCAATCTTCTTTGATTACAGGACATTCATTAATTGTTTATGTCTTACTTTATCGAATGCTTTATTATAGTCAATAAAGCATACGTATATATCTTGATTGACGTCCAGGCATCTTTGTATCAGTATATTAAGTGAAAAAAGAGCTTCAAGCGTTCCTCGGCCTTTGCGAAAACCAAATTGTGTATCACTAACGTCTATGTCCAGTTTGTGATATATTCGGTTATGGATGACTTTAAGTAGTAACTTTAGAATATGAGACATGAAGCAAATGGTGCGGTAATCGCTGCATTCTCTTGCGTTTTTCTTTTTAGAGAGACAAATAAAAATCGATGTTAACCACTCTTTGGGTAATACGCCTGAACTATAAATTTGGTTCAAGAGTGTCACTAAAACATCAATGTGCCTCTCATCTAGAATTTTTAGGATTTCTATAGGATGCATGTCAGGTCCAGGGCTTTTCCCACTCTTAATTGTTTTTAATGCGTGTAATATTTCTTCTTTTGTAATATATGGACCTATTTCTTATGACGTAAGTTGTATGTGTTCCAGATCTCCTCTTTAATCATCGAACAATTCGTGGATATATTCTGCCCATCTTTGTACTTTCTGGTCCATATTTGTTATAGTAATCCCGTGTCTACCCAGAAATTCACGAGTGGGATTTTGTTCTCTTAGTTCTTCTTCTTCAGACAAGACATAAGATTCATAGAAAAGTTATACTGGCGTCAAACAGCGACAGCTTGCATAAACGGAAAATCAACAGAAATATGTAAAATACAAAGAGGTGTCAGACAGGGTTGTAAACTATCCCCACTTTTATTTAATTTATATTCAGATAGAATATTTAAAGAAGCGCTGCATAATTTGAATGGGCGTGAAAGTTAATGGAATTCTGATAAATACAATCAGATATGCAGACGATACAGTTATTTTAAGTGATGACATGAATGGATTACAATGCCTTTTAAATGCCATTGATACAGTGGGAAGAGAGTTTGGCCTAAACATAAACTGTGCAAAAACAAAACACATGATGTTTAGCCGTTTAGCACATCAAGATGCACGATTATATGTTGATGGTCATATAATTCAAAGAGTGTCCAGTTTTAAATATCTTGGTTGCCATATTACTGAACAACTAGATCCAGATCAAGAGATAAAATGTAGAATCGAAATAGCCCGCACGACATTTTTAAAAATGAGGTCATTCTTCTGTAATGATAACTTGCAACTTCAGCTTCGAAAGCGCATGGTTAAATGCTACATTTGGTCAGTCCTCTTATACGGTGTCGAAGCATGGACATTAAAAATATCCACCATTAATCGTCTGGAGGCGTTTGAAATGTGGCTGCACAGACGTATACTAAAAATTCCATGGACGGCTATGCTGACAAATGTGGCCGTCCTTGAGAGAGCAAATGCTGCTCGCGAGCTGCTTGATAACATCAAATGTAGAAAGATGGCCTATTTTGGACACGTAGTAAGGGGAGACCGATATAATATTCTTCAACTTATTATGATTGGTAAAATCGAAGGACGCAGAGGAATTTGGTAGAAAGCAGGCCTCTTGGTTGAAGAATATCAGGGAGTGGACAGGAATAAAGAAAGCTGAGCAACTATTTAGAATAGCTCGAGACAGAGACAGTTTCGCCATATTAATCGTCAACGTCAAGGGGACTTGATAGGGCACGTTAAGAAGAAGAAGTTCTGCCAGTTCTTTAACTTTCTTGGGTAAGTTAAACAGATCATATTTATTTTGCAGATCTTCGATCTCTTTGCATTTATCTTCAAAGTATTTTTCTTTTGCCTGCTTTATCATCTTCCTGATCTCGTAGTTCAATATCATTGGTGTTTGTGTTCAATTTGCTGCAGTTCATGTTGGAGCAAACAGAAATAACATAACTTAATTTTCAAAGTTCCCGCTTCTTCGTTGCGCGGACTTAACAGGCTCTGGTTATGCTATTCCACATGTTGCATCACTTGTAAGTAAATAACTATTGTATAAATTTTTAAACAAATAAATTTTAACACAGTTCTTATTGTGTAATTTGGATTTTTTGCAGTTTTTCAACTATATTTAACCATGTTTGAATTTGGTTCAAACACTTTTAATACAAATACGAAAACTCCTACTAATCATAAAATAATCGTTAGATTCCTATCGAGAACTGGAGAAAAAAATAACAATAATTGAACGGATCACTAATGAGGAAGACCTAAGGAAGACCTCGAAAAACAGACAACTAATAGCATACTTATGAAAACGGGAAATAGAATAATTGGGTCGTAAAGTAAATAAGATAAAAATATACATAGTGACAAGCAAAGTTTTGCGACACGATTGATCTTTTAATAGAAAAGCATTACTACTTTCTGTAACTAATATCGTATATAGTCTCACTCTTAAATCGCAGTATTGAAAATTTAATGACAAAGTATGTGAAATGACCAGGCATCGCTAATCCATTCATATTATGGTTTAAATGCGCCAAAATAAGCAAAACAAATCGATTTAATTTAAAAGAAATAATAAACTTTGCTTTTTAGTTCCTTTTACTCCATTGACGCATAAAATATCTGTGTATTAATGTTATACTAAGTAAACAACTTTCTTAAAGAATAAAATACTGCCAAATATCAACAGGTATCTGTCAAAATCTCTATATACTTAACGCGATTTTTAAGTTATACGCTTTTATATACAAGATTGTGATAGAATTATAAGATATATTTCTTACGTCCTCATTCTCTCTCCGTCTCTCTACCTTCTTAAAATTTACACTTGAAAATTCAACAAATAATCTTTGAGCTGATTGGGCAAATCTAGTTTGTTGATGAAAAGTCCTGGCCGACGTCCTAAGCAATTATGGATTTTGACTCGACAAATTTGTTTGAGGGTTCGTGGTCGCTTGTAGAGGTCTCTGATGATGGCAGTTAGCGGTTCAGTCGTTTTTCCGGGTACTAGACTCAATTGCTGAGTGTATAAGATCTTGAAAAAGATATTCTTTTTAGTGTCAGTTATGTACATTTTTGGAAAATACATGTATATTCTTTAAACAAAAAATATATTAAACTTTTGGACTAAATTAATGCAGTACCTTATTAAGTTGATCAATTTATTAAACTCAAAATATTTCATTGAATTATTATAGAGATTATTAGAATAAGGAAGGTTATTTTTAGTACATAAACACGTGTTAGAAACTTACCTTTAGGCACTCAAATAGAGGCTTGTGCTGCATAACGCAGTAAAATAACAAAATAATTTTAGCAAAACTAAGATGGGGATCAGTGATGAGATTCTCTTTTCTAGATATTAATGTTATGTAATAATACAAAATATAGTTTTTCGTATTCCATATACTCTGTGAATGCAACGGATGCCTTCTGATAGCTTCTGACATGTTGAGGCTCAAATCAGGATTGGCTCCAAATTGAATGAGGGTAAGTGTAAGATCATACCTACAAAAGATGATAAATCAAAGTAAATAAGCATTATTAGGTATTATGCATATGGCGTGCATGTATTAGTGCGAATTGATAATTGATACTATATCAGAATCTATAGTATAGTTTCGAAAATGTTGGCATTACATTCCAAGAAATGATGATTACCGATATTGGTCCATTGACCATTCCCGAGTTATTCTTGGTCTTCCAGTGACGCACACAAACATTTTTGTAAAGGTAAGAGAAACGGTTATCATCGGGTCCAAAAATACCAGCGGTCAAAAAACGGAGACTCATTTTAACACACATAAGCAGTGATTCGGGTTTTTTTGGATAACGGCTTGTTACTCTTCGAATCCACTAAAACCAATGACTGTTATGATGAAATAGACGCCAAAAATTTGAAGGTTGGTTTTCATAGGTTTTATTAAACGTCCAAGGAAATTCTGTCGGCGTTTTGGACAATGCATCTTAAGATTCGGGACAATTGGATCCGAAATCAATAACTGCCTGACGGAAAGCTAACATCATGAACTGGCTCTCTCAAAAAAATATATCATTCCATGACAACATGTTGAAAGTACAATTAGTAAGGAAAATAAAACTATTATGGAGATATTAAGAAATATTTGGGTAAACAACTTCGATCTAAAAAATATTAGCATTTCTCTCTCTTTGTCAACCATTTTCCACCCACTCCTGAATGTAGGTCTCTCCCCATTGCTTCCATCTTTCTCTATCTTGTAATTTCATTTTTCAATTTCATTTTTGTAATTTCTTCCACAAAATCCCTAATCTTCGTTCTACATCTTATCTCGGTGTTTCTAATCTTGTCTCTCGGGATATTCTAAGCATGATTCGTATCATTGCTCTTTGTGTTGTTTCTAATTTTTTAGCAAATTTTTTGGTAAGGACTACTGTCTCCAAGCCGTAGGTACAAACTGGTAGTATGCATGTGTTATACACCTTTTTCAAGTTTACAAGAATGGAGGTGTTTTTCAAGATTACCTAGATATACATAATGTTCAACATTTTCTATGGTATGTAGCAGTCTCTACTGAAATCAAACATCGTATATCCGTACAGAGAATCCGATGATATCAAAATCAAACGTCAGACGGGGATGTATACTATCACTCCTGCTGTTCAATATATACTCTGAGGAAATCTTTCACGAAGCAGTTGAGGATGTTAAAGCCGGAATTTGAATTAACGGAGAATGTATCAATAACATCAGATACGCGGACGACACGGTGGTAGTCGCTGACAATTAGTAAGCGACTACCACCAATAAAAAGGAACAACAATTTTGACGAATCCGTCTGGACGGCCAACGAATAGAAAGAATAAAAACAGGTACAAACATCAAGCAGTTGACATGAACGTCAATTAAAATTGGGACCATTCCCTAGAAATCAAAGGTAGGATAGAGAAAGCAAGATCTGCATTTAAAAAAATGGTGTAAGCTATTCATATATACCCATAATAATACCCATAAAAATAAATTAGGATACTAGGATTTTATATATTTCCTATAGGAAGTTGAGTTGAGTCGTAGACCCTCACAGATATTACCTACTTTCGTAAATTCGAAAATTGAGGCTTTCGAAATGTGACTTATCGTCAAATCCTGAAGGTATCTTATACCGATCACGTTACTCATCGGAACGTTTTATTAAGAATACAAAACGAAAAAGAGCTGTTAAAGACAATAAAAAGAGCAAAAATCAAATATCTCGGTCACATCATAAGGAACAGCGAAAGATATGTTTTGCTGCAACTAATTTTACAAGGAAAAGTAAAAGGAAAACGAGGATAAGGAAGACAAAGGATTTCTTGGCTAAAAAATCTACGTACGTGGTTCAACACAACAACCACAAATCTTTTAATAGCAGCAGTGTGCAAAGTACAGATTGCCATGATGGTCGCCAACATCCGAAACGGATAGGCACTATAAGAAGACAATTATTAAATCTTGCAAGGAGACATACACCATAAATACAAGAACTATTTAGTCGACGAATGTGGGTGTCGAACTACTTTGTCAATATTGCCTTATATAATTATAGGTAAGTTAATTATGTTTAATCTTCTAATTAGATTGCCAAATTAAAATGCATCTTGTATAACACTAATCATGCTTCATATACATACAAAAACTATAGATTTAGTAAAAATACTTTTTTTAGTATATAATTTTTTTTATACAATTATTACATGTTCGACATATGCTCTAAGTGGAAAGGATTCGTAATCTATTGAATTTTTTACAAGAATTGCCACTCTTTCGCTAACTCGACTGATGTTTGTTCTGTCTTTACGAAAACTTGAAATTGCTTAACTGAATATATATTGGAAGGAGTAAGGTTAGTTTCTTGTACGTATATTACTTCTGGCCAGTATTCTGATTAAATCATTTGTAAATAGATAATTGATGGAATAGTCCATCAATAATTAACTTTGAGTTGAAAATTATGCATCGAGGAGAATATTCACCGTGAGTAATATTTTTATCTAGATAGTGTTTAATTTAGTTTAAGGTGGGTTAAAACGAATTTTTAGTGCAAATATTTTCACCGGTAGGGATAACTATCCTCGCTTCAGTAGGTGATTGTATAATTATTTAAGAAGTACAAGAAATTGAAGAGTGTTTTTGAATATTTGTTTTATTTAGATTACCATCTCCAGCTTGATGTGATTGACTACCATTATCGATACAACACTGCGAATTTGGAGTTGAAGTAGGATTGGGTAGAATTGATTCTTAAGCATGACAGGTTGATATTTTACTGTCGATATTTGGGCAATTCTTTGAAATATGGCGTATTTGGTAACACGTATAGCATGTTCCATTACATTATCTTGAGATACGAAAATTCTGTAGGTGAAGTTTTCGTAATTAATTCAATAGAATTTGGAATAGTGATATTATGTGGGCTGATAAATACTTGTTTTCTAAAGGTTAATATATGGATATATTCTGGTAGAGTAACACCGATCAAGATTTAGGACCATCTCTTTTAATTACGAAATTGTTAGTCAGACATTGGATAATACTATTCTTCCTCTTTTCTAATTGGGCCCTTATAGTTTGTAAGCAGATTTTAATGTAGACTTAGTTGATACATGTCTCGTTCCTAATCTGATGCATTATCAAATTTTCTTCCTTATAGACGTAAACTTGCATTTTATATATTTGAAATCGGTTTAAATGGGGCTAATCGTATTGAATAGAGCTAGTAAATATGTTATATATTCTCAAATGATGCTTATAGGATCTGCAGCGCCAGTTACATTCATTGATAGTTTGTTAAGTGGGTCAAAGTTAGAGGTGATTTTCCATCAATTTTATATGTAGTATCAAGAGGTGAGGAATCGTAGGTAATATTGAGTGAGCGGACTTTCTTAATTTTTGGGTTTGACTTTGGGTGTAGGAAAAACTTAAGTCTCTTTGAGAACTTAGTCCATCTTAGATGCAATGATTTCATCAAAGTTACGTTTTGGTTGATTTGCGATTGTATGTTCTTAGTTATATGTTCTTCTTCTTCTCTATTTGTGATCATAGACCACTGTGATAGTAGTATATACGGCAGTACTTTTTAAAGTACTTGGAAGACTGGCCTTTAACACTAAAGATACAGTCACTATGATCTGTTTTTAAATTATTAAACCTGTAAAATGCAGAGCGTGCAATATAGTAGAGAGTATACAATACTTTCCCAAAGACTGTGCAAAGCATATCGCTTCAAAGACATGCTTACAATATTGCAAACAGTTTAAAAGACTTAATTTATAACAATTTGGTTCCAAATAACTAACTGGTAACTTATTATGTATTAATTTGCTACACAGAATTTAGTGTTTTGCTCTAACAGTGGATGCGACTTTAACTAACTTTTAAATAAAAAAAATACTAATATTACATGCACGTATCAATTTTAGATATAATTAGTTAAGAGCGTAGGCGCAAAATTTCGGGCCAATGCTTTTTAAATGCATTCATTTTTTTCGAATCCTGAGAAAACTTATAAATATTTTTGAAAAATTTAAACGCAAATGAAAGAATACATTATATACCGAGGGACCGAAAGTCCCTGAAAACTTCTATAATGTTTATTTTAATAAGTTACAGGGGTGAAAAAAAAGAGAAAATTTAGTGTGATTTTTAATTTTAAATATCTCATTTAAAAAAACTTTTTGTTTATTCTAAAGGACTTTCGGCCCTCGGTAATAATGTAATCTTTCATTCTGCGTTTAAAATTTTCAAAAATATTTGTTAGTTTCCTCAGGATTCGAAAAAAAATGAATGCATTTAAAAAGCATTGGCCCGAAATTTTGCGCCTACGCTCTTTAAATAATTAATTAATTAAAACAAAACTTACACGTAGTGAAGATCCATACAGTCTCGAACATTCAATACCATATCCATACATTTCTGGAAAATGTGTTCTGTTTTTCTAGTAACTCTCGCATTGGGATTTAGATCGTGGTTTAACAATAGTATCAACAAATTTTTAATAAATTCAAAGTTTAACCTTTTCTGAACGTTGCAATTTAATGTTATATTTTCTGACACAGTAAAAACTAATACATGTAGGGGAGTCAGATTAGCCCTGTAGCTACAATTGGAATTGGCCCCGTGTTTTAGAAGAATTTTAATGCAATTTAAATAACAGACCTGAAAAAAAGAAGAAATATTTAAGCTTTTTTTATTAAAAAAAACTGGATTTTATAAAAGTAAACTTGATATTTGCTAAATGTATGTCTTAAATTTGTTGCATTACTTAATTGTTAAAAGAATCATTCAATTTAATTTACAAGAGAGCTATGGTTGATCTAGAGAAATATTTATAGCCATCTATTAATTCATGACAATCGGAGATTTTTGAATTTCTTCAAAATTTTGAGTATGTTTTAAACAAAATGTTTTAATATTATTTTATCTTAAGGTCTATCGAGAATTGGCAGAATTTACGTATCAAGAGAGGATATTAAATCGGCTTCGATCATTATTTAGTAGAAGTTAAAACGGACAACACTCCTTACCAGACACCCTCCAGCCTTACAAACAGAAAATAGATACAAAGTTCCTAGTGCAAAATTGTAGAAATTGTTGAATTTGAATGTTAGAAGAAAACTAAGATATACTGATAGTGAAGGTAGAAAACATAAATTGGAATGCATATAAAGATATCGAAAGTATATGGGAACTGTTAAAAAAACAGTGTACCAAGTAGCTAGAGTCACTTGTGGAACAGTTGCTGATAATAAAAAATACTCAGCTTGGTGGAATAATCACAAAAAAGGTGGACAAAAAAATAATGATAATTATAAGAAGTATAAAAAACAAAGTAGGTCAAGAGTAATTAAGGAGACAATAAAAAATGCTGACACAAAAGTAAGAACAGTTTGTACATAAAATGGAGAGCGACAGAAGAGGAAATGGTCAACTACTATACAGAACACTCAAAATTTAAGAAAAGGTAAAGAAGATACCACAAGATTTATTGAAGATGAAACCGGCAAGCTACTAGTCACAGAAGAGCATATAATGTATTACTAATATTTTAAAGGAGTGCTAAATGCAGACAAATATATTGAAGAGGAAAGGCAAACCAATCCCGAGACTACCACAAATATTAAAAAAGGTTAAAGAGATGAAATAACATTAGAAGAATACATAGAGTCGATAAGCGGATTAAAGAAGGGGAAAGCACCAAGCTCGGATAATATTAAACAGGAAATGATACAACTTATGCCAGAAGACGGAGTAACAGGACTGCATAAAACTATAAATTTAGCCTGGAAAACTGGAAAACTGGAAAACATTCTAAGTGTAGTATACAAAGTATACGAGATAATTCTGGATAAAAGATTACGAAAAGTTATTGGAAAAACATTATATGATAATCAATGCAGCTTCAAACCAGGAAGGAGTACAACAAATTTAATATTCACAGTAAGACAGCTAGCAGAGAAAGCACTCGAAAAAGCCTTTGACTATTGAATAAAGAGAAACTTCTAGCTCTCAAAAGTATAGATAGCTGGGCAAAAAATGTGATCAGAACAACCAAAAATCCACAGAATTTGTTACGAAAATGGGTGTTAAAACAAGCAGATGTACTAAGACCTTTCTAGTATGTTACATTAGTAGAAAAAATAGCCAAATAAGCACAAAGAAGTGCCAAACACGTAACAGTTACAGTGAGAAAATTACGACAAATATTGATATCTGAAGTAATATATGCTGATGATTTAGTTATTGTGGCAAATAGCCAAAGGATGTTATTAGAAAGATATAGGAGTTATGTGATAAGTGATTTTTTCGGTAAAAGCATACCAGTTATCTTTTGGGATGGAAAATGCGAATCTTGTTTCAAATTGAGTCTTTTTATGCTCCTTAAATTTATATGAGTAAATCATCTGCATAGAGTCGAGCTTTGAGGGGTTTAGGTAAGTTATATTTAGTGTCTATCATGGCGATTAAGAATAGCGTAGGACTTATTACTAAGCCTTGTGGTGTACCATTTTCTGCAGTAAGAAAATTCAAGTAAATGTCATTGACACCTGATTGATAAAAAAATTGTTTAAGAAATCTTCATTGTATGCTAAACAGTATCCTGTTATGTTCGATGTGTACAGCTTTTCTACAATATCATATCTCCAGTAGCAAAATTGAAAAAAAACTTAATTTTTAAGTAAAATTGTGATTTATTCCTAACAAAAATAACCAAAAAAGAATACAATATTCTCGTTTTTAAGATTAAGACCACTACTTACAGAATTTAAAAAAATATATATATATTTTTTTGTTACAGGCTCAAAATAAGCATAGAAACTCCCCAGACTTGTGGAAAAAAATGTTATTGTATATCTCCACAAATTTATTCTTTGAAATTCCATTTTTTACTTCCCGAACATAAGAACATATCAGGAAAACAACTCAACATTTTAAAGGCAGCCAGCATATGTCCAACTATTTTTATAGTATTCACTTCAAATTTGGACCATATCCTTGAAATAAAATTCCGAAGGAAAATGTGTACGGGATTTTTGACAAGTTGGATTTAACATTACTTATTTATTCACAAATGATCGTCCATTTTTTTCAAAAATTAAACTGTATAGTACTATTATTTAATTAATATTTTTTAACACAAAAAATTTGAATAATTACATCCTTAATATTATTATCCCCTTATTGTTCCTCCCATAAAAAAACTACAAAAAAAAAATACTTTTACAGTAGGGTTTTTATTAAGAATTTTCATGATATTTTTTTACAAATTTGCAATTGTTTCCTCTTTCTGAAAAAATTATAATTCAATGACACATTGTTGTACGATTTAGGAGCAGTGATCTGAACATTTCTTCCTGAAGTTTTGTCTGCAACTGCGGCAGATATTATCAATTACGGTGCGTCAACTGTTAACTGTGACCGTCGTCCGCTAACTGAGACTATTAAACCGTTGCCACATCGCTTTAGACAAGGTGAAAGTCGAAACGTGAAATATGGTGTGGTGTCAACACAACCTACAAACCTACGACACAAATCTTAATATCCGATTCTTAGTATGGTTTACATTAAATTTCAGTTAAATTACAGTTTTTTCATATGAATTTGCAAACAACTGTTGAATTAACACTTACCTTCATACTATGGGTAAAATGGTGTAGAGGATCTTTATTTATAAGAGGTACCAAGCAGACCATCAGAGGTACAGATCCATCTCGGCCGACCATATTCGGATCACCTAAAATATTTCAAATACATTGAAGGACTGAAATATTTTTAGATTGTTGTTCTTTCTTACCATCTTCATTGAGTAACATATTGAGCAATTCATAACAAACATCCCAATCGCGAACATGTCTTAAAACGCAAGCCACTGCAGAATTTCCGGCGTGGTTTATCGATTGTCTAGCGCCGTTCTGTATTAAGTATCTTACCAGGTGAAGGATGTCCCATTTATTCCATTTGTTCCATTTGTCATAACCATATTGGGCTTCTTCTAAAGCGTATCTGCAAAAAAATAATACATTCTAATCACTATATGACTGAAACTGATACAATTTCGTAAATTTTATCTTTTACCGCAATTGTATCGTTATACAATTTTATCTGTAGTAAAGAATATGTAGTAGGAAAATCTAGTTTTTTAAAAATGTTAATTAAAAAGTTGAGTACTATACTTTCGTATTTACAATCTAAAAATAAAGAGGCCGATGTTAAAAGAAATTGAAAAAGAAGTTTATGGTTGGACAATTTCTTGGAAACAAATCCTAAATCAGATCTAACTCCAAAGAATTCTTATAAATACAGAAAAAACCGGAACCTATCCTTAGATTATAATACATCAAAGCCTGTAACATAATTATTTTAAACAAACTGTGGAATCAGGTAAACGATGGTTACGTGGAAATAAGCCATTCTTGCGATATTATCCTAGTTTTGTAGATGCTGTTATTGAAGTCTTTCACAGTGTCAATGTGTTTCTAGTCTATCGGTATTATCTATTGAGAAATGATAAGGTCCGGGTTATCTTTTAAGTTTCATGATGTTTTTGCATTTATTATATTAAACCTGTCTGACCTATTACTGACCTATTACTTCATTTTGATATCATCTCTTGTTTTCGTTTAGTTTATGTTCAAAAAAACTTCCATAATTTGATTTTACCTTCAGTATCACGAAAGTAAAGTAAATACGATATTTTTTTGTTTTACTTTTCCTCTTAACTCCTACACTTTCCAATATAAAGTAAATATATATATGTTATTTTTATATTGTTTTCAGATATCAATGAATTTTAAGATATTTTCGGCTAGGGATATTTGGATGCTTTAATGTTAATGTACTCTAGTTGGTGTACTTGATTATCATCGCCAATTTGTCCTGAGTTGTCCATTATTTAACATAAGTCTCCTCTAGACATTTTCATCTATTTATGTTCTGTGCGTCGTTCTATCAAATTTGTCACAATTATTATGAGGTGGTCGGTCCATCGTGTTGGGCGGCTTCGCTTGTCTACCCGTGGTCTTTCATTCTTGTAACGTGTCCCGCCACCTCAAGTTTTGCCTTGTAATACGTTCGATAATGTCTCCATTCCGATCCGTCTACGAAATTCCTCGTGTGTCCTAAATTTTACGTTGTTGTTCTCAATTTTTCCGCTGATGTTTTTGTGAGAGTGAGAGTTGCTGCTTCTTATGTGACGACTGGTATAAAACATCGGTTGAAAGCTTCCTTTTTAAATGGATTAGTACATTTGTTTTACTTGATTCATTATTTTATTAGCTTTTATTAATTTCTAGAACCAGCTTTATTTCTTTTGAATGATTTTTTTTGGTGATTTACATCTATTTGCCCATGATTCTGTTTTTTTTAATATTTTTCATATTATACTCATTTAAGCTATATTGGGGTTATGATTAGACGTAACAATTCACCATGGTTTGCCTTTATATCATTTTATTTTGGAGGTTGCTTTGGGTGCAGGAGGATGATGATGCCTTTATTAACTTAATACTATTTATATATCCAGTATTTATCAAGAAGTATATTTGGTTTCGTACGATTTTATTTCAATACGCTGTGGCGATGTCCAGGTGTAGAATCTTCATTTTGGAATCTCGAACAATGTATTCAATATCACTGTTGTCATTTTCTTGCAAAATTGAACTAATCCGACCGCCTATATAATTACGAATGATTTGCCTTTTCCGATGTAGAGCGTTAAGTATTATATTTTTAGCTTGTTTGGACTTTTTTAGTATGTTTTTATGTCTTCATAGAAACGTTCGATTTCATTGTAATTTTGCCTGATAGGAGCGTAGACTTAGATTTCATTATGATTTTCGTCTTTGCTTTTTATTTGAAGAAGCAGTACTCGTCTGATATATAGAATAAAGAATTACTAGTATATCATGTCTGTAATAGTTCTCGTATTAGCAGAGAAACACATTTTATGATTATTTGCTATCTCTTGCTGTCCTATACATTTGAGAAGATGTCGATGTTTTAATCTTATTTATAGATATATAATAATTTATATAAAAACGCGACATGGAGGTCACACAAGTTGATAAATTTATTATACATTATAAATTATTAAAACTACAAAAAAAAAAACACTAAATTGTAAGTTATTTATAACACAGAAAATTTTCAGAATGGTCTAGGTGCAAATGCGTATTTACAGCTTCCAGTTAACAATAATTCGCGTAACAGTTTTTTCGAAAGCTTAAATTGTTGTTATGAGCAACAGTAATTCTAGACGTCGAATTAACCATTTTGACAGCAAAGTTCATCATTATCATCATTCTGGCTTTAAACCTCTTCATGGGTCCTAGTTACTATTCGAATAAATTCATTGAATATGTAAAAACTATTTACCGATATTTGTAATTTATAAAACTCCACTTTTGAAAAAAAATCGCCCACTGTATAAATGACAACGTTGTCAACAGTGCTTAGTGTTTTGTGTGCTTAAGACTCTAAATCCAAAAAAAGACTCCGAAATTTCAGGCACTCCGCCTACAACCCAGAGCGAATTTAGACGGGAAAGAAGCAACATCTCTCTTTGCAGAAGTCCCCAAAAATCCGTCAAGGATTTACTCCTCACAATGTTATACAGTGCTCTCAAAATCTGTCAAAGATTTGTCTCGCTCGTGGTGTAAGAGCAAGCAATCATACGTTAGTGGTGCCCTTTTTGTGTACCGGGTGGTCCAATAAGCCGATCACTCGGCTATATATCAGAAACTATTCATGTTATAACTTTAGGAGAAAAAAATCCTTAGTAAAAGTGGCCAAGAGAAATCGCTGGAAATAACTTTGAAGATTCTGGATTAACCGCTAGGGGGCGTAACCTGCGAAGAAAAGTTTGAAAACCAGTTTTTTGGGAAATATGTCCAATTATACCAAGTGTTAAATAAGTAAACTAGAAAGAGGCATAAATTCTGCACAAAGTTGTTCAAGTACTTTTTTTTATTTTTTTAAATAAAGGGTGGGGAGAGTGGGAAAGTATTTGTGGATAAATACCTATAACTTTGGTTTGGATCAACCGATTTTAACAAAATTAGTGTCATTAGAAAGAGTATGGATGAATTAATTTACATCTACTATAAAATAATTGCATTTAGTTTTAATTGTCGTAGGTAGAGGGTACTTTCGAATAGAAAAAATTAAAATTTGTTTTTCTTCAAAATTTTTAATGGAAACACCTATTTATTGTAAACTATAATGGAACTGGATTAAATTCATAACAAAATGGCGCAAACCGCATGTTAATAGCTTTTATCGAACTCGAGATACGAATAAAAACGCATAAACATAAGTAAGTATAGTATTGACACACCCTGTATTATAAAATAAATTAAAAAATAAGTCAGTAGGTACTTTCAAAATTTTTTATAGCAGAAAACTCTTAATGTTGATACCTATTTTGACCATTGTTATTTCATATGATTATAAATTGTTTTTTCGAAACTAAGTAGGCTACGACAATGAATTTGACAGGGAGTTCATATTGTTTATTTATTGACAGCAGTCAAAATATTGTTAAGAAGTGTTATATGTATTATAATTCGAATTAAAAATTGCATTTTTTTCAATAGATATTAATATTGGTAATATTAGTAATTAATTTATCAGTACTAATAATTCGTGATGAGTATATCAAATTGTATGATATGATTGGAGTTTGTTTCGAATATCATCAAAATGGCGCTATTGCCTCACGTATATATTCTGTAAGATATCCTAGCAGGAGATATTGTGGCAAAGAAGTAGAGATTTCGGACTACTTATATGTGGATTCTGTTGAATTAAAGCAAGAACATTGATTGAATTATCTTCGGTCATAACTCTACTACGTCGTTTAAAACAAGGACGAGAAAAACTACCAGTTTCTCTTAATCTTTTTGCCCTTCTTTCAAATACTTCTTTGCCATAATGTCTCCTTGTCCGTATATCTTACAAAATATATACGTGTGGCAATAGCGGCATTTTGGTGACATTCGAAATAAACTCCAATCATATCATACAATTTGATATACCTATTCATCACGAATTATTTGTACTGATAATTAATTACTAATATTACCAATATTAATATCTATTGAAAAAAGTGCAATCTTTAATTTGAATTATAATATAGCACTTCTTAACAATGTTTTGACTGCTGTCAATAAATAAACAGTATGAACAATCAAATTCATTGTCGTAGCCTACTTAGTTTCAAAAAAACTATTTTTTCCAAAATAGGTATCAACATTAAGATTCTTCTGCTATAAAAAAATTTGAAAATACCTTATTTTAATTTTTACTTATTTTTTAATGTAATTTATAATACAGGGTGTGTCAATACTATACTTACTTAGGTTTATGAGTTTTTATTCATATCTCGAGTTCAACAAAAGCTATTAACATGCGGTTTGCTCCATTTTGTTACGAATTTATTCCAGTTCCATTATAATTTATAATAAATAGGTGTTTCCATTAAAAATTTTAAAGAAAAACAAATTTTAATTTTTTTATTTGAAAGTCCCCTCTTCCTACGACTATGAAAACTAAATGCAAGTATTTTATAGTAGATGTGAATTAATTCATCCACACTCTTTCTAATGACACTAATTTCATTAAAATCGGTTGGACCAAACCAAAGTTATAGGTATTTATCCACAAATACTTTCCCACTCTCCCCCACCCTTTATTTGAAAAAATAAAAAAAAGTACTTGAACAACTTTGTGCATATTTTATGCCCCTTTCTAGTTTACTTATTTAACACTTGGTATAATTGGACATATTTCCCAAAAAAACTGGTTTTCAAAATTTTCTTCGCAGGTTACGCCCCCTAGCGGTTAATCCAGAATCTTGAAAGTTATTTCCAGCGATTTCTCTTGGCCACTTTTACTAAGGAATTTTTTTTCCTAAAGTTATAACATGAATAGTTTCTGATATATAGCCGAGAGATCGGCTTATTGGACCACCCGGTACACCAGAGTTTTCGCATAGTTCTCGTGGTAGCCTTAAACACACATGGTTGCCATATCTCCACATTTATAAATTCAAGATCTTAGTAATAGACATTTGAAAGACTTGTTAACTAGTAAGTAGTATTTAGTATTGGGAATTTAGTTTTTTATGTCATTTGTACTGACTGTATGTATTCTATTTGTACTTCTATCACTCTCTATATCTTTAATAAATCATTTGTACCTTTGGATAGCTAGTTTCTCGACAGGTTTAATAAGAGTTTCATATATTAGTATCTTTGTTTTTCTGCTAATTATGTGTGATGTTAACCCATTAAAACCCAAGACATTTTTTCGAAAAAATTCATTTATTTTTTACTGGATCTTATTAGGAGTATTATTCTAAGCAAAACATTAAATGTAAGTCATACTGAATAACTTAAGGTATGTCCCTATGTGGGGACAATGGGTAAAGTGTTAAAAAAATAAATTAAAGTTTAGATTACTTGTTATTTATTATTTTTAAGTGCAAAGTAAAATATAGTAATGGTTAAAACTAAACAAAAATAAATTAGTACCTACAGCAAACTAAATAACAGAGATTTTTTTTCAATCAACATCTTAGGAATGATAAACTCTGAAACAGTCACTGGGAAACAAATGAAATTTTAATTTTATTTGTCTTGTAGTAAAAGCATTTACCGCTCTTCTATATACATGCGTGAACTTGCTTACAAAGTTGTACCTGCTGTTGCGTTGGTCGAAGTGATAAATATCAGCGCTATAAGTTAAGAAGAAAGCATTGTAAACTAACACTCTGTCGTAGTGAACTCTTGCTATTTCTCGATAGACGGCGCTACAGTGACATTTTGTTTGCTGTCCCCAAATGGGCCCAGTGGGATAAAATGGGTTAAGAACTGCTTTAATCCAAAGTAAGCTCTGTTCACCAGGTATATTCTTCTCTTAATTTCTACGCCTACTAGGTTGCTGGTATTTAGTTGTGTTCCAAAATACCTATTCGTGACCTTTATGTGTTTTGTTTTGGATACGTTAACCTGCAGTCTCATTGTCTTCGCGGCTTTTTCTAATGTTTCAAAAGCTTGTATCAGGTCTCGTTTTGTCCGTGTTACCATGTCAATGTCATCTGCGTAGGCCAATATTTGTACACTTCTATTGATGATCGTACCTCTGATTGTTATGCCCGATTTCTCTATGGCTCTTTCTAGCGCGATGTTAAACAATAGACACGATAGACTGTCTCCCTGGACAGTAGACCTGGCGTAATCCAGTATGTGTTTGAAAATACCTTGACACTCTGTTTTGTACCTTGACTTTGCACTCAACTTTCGAAAGAGTTGCCTTTACCAATGTTATTAGATGCGACAGAAAATCTAGTTCTGCCATGGCATTATAAAGTGCACTTCTGTCTACACTGTCATAAGCACTTTTAAAATCTATGAAGAGGTGATGGGTATCAATTCCATATTCATATGTCTTTTCTAAGGTTTGTCTGACAAGGAAAATCTGATCAATTGTTGACCTTTCTTTTCGGAATCCACATTGGTATTTGCCTATTTTTTCTTCAGTATATACTAGTAAACGACAATAAAGTATATAAGCCAGTACTTTGTAAGCCGTATTTAGGAGGGTAATTCCTCGATAGTTGTCACATATTAGTGGATCCCCTTTTTTGTGAATAGGTATTATAATACCTACATTCCAACTGTCTGGGATTTTTCCTTATCTCCAAATGCATGCAACAAGTTTTATTATGTATTTTTTAGGGCGTTTGCTCCATACTTGAACAGCTCAGGGGGTATACCATCTTCTCCAGGGATTTTTTGTTTTTTAACCTTTTTATTGCCTTGTCAACTTCTTCTTCTGTTGGTATATTATTTTTCTCCCTCTCATCGTTTACGTCTAAACTGTGGTCATTTATGTCAGTCACTTCTTGGTTGCCTATATTTAATTTCTCAGACCATCTCTCCACTATTTGATCCGGCTCATTGATAATTTTGGCTTCCTTACTTTTTATTATGGTTATTCTAGTTTTAAATTCTTTTCTGTTGTGGTTCACATTTTTATAAAATTTTCGCGCTTGGCTTTGTGAATTGAGCCTTTCTAGTTCCTGTAGCTGGTTTTCTAAATGTCGTCTTTTCTTTTGTTTTAGTATCTTTGTCTCTACTTAGTCTTGTCCTTCTGTTTTGGAGTTTCCCATATGCCTGATTATTTTTTGAGTTGCCTGTGCGCATTCCGCATCATACCATTCTGTCCCCTTCCTTTCTTGTTTCTTCTTTTCTACAACTGTTGTGGCTACTTCTTTTAGGATATTTTCACACTCATTCCAGTAATTATCTACGTTTTCAACAGTACTACTCATTTGGTCTTCTAGTTTTTCTTTAAGTTTGTGTTCAAATTTTCCAACTATCTCAGGGTTTCGTAGCCTGTCCACCTCGAATTTATCTTCTTTGCTTTCTTTACCTTTTTTTGCGTTAGAGATTCGTGCCCTTAGTTTAGCCTGGACCAGGTAGTGATCGGAGTCAATGTTTGCTCCACGTCTGGTACGTACATTCATAACATCACTGTAATGTCTTGCGCCCACAACTACATGGTCAATTTAATGATTGCGTTACCGTCTGGGCTAACCCAAGGGCATTTGTGTATATTTTTACGCTCGCAGCATGTGCTGGCTATCACCATATTCATTAAGGCCGCAAGGTGTATTAAGCGTGTTCCATTGTTGTTCGACTCGTTAGGGAGGCTATATTTTCCAATGGTTGGTAGGTAATCGTCTTTTCCTATTTTGGCGTTGAAATCTCCAAGTGCTATTTTTATATCATTTCTAGAGCAGTTCTGTATTATTTCTTACAGTTTTTCGTAAAATTCATCCTTTTCTTCGTCTAGCTTATCTTCTGTGGGTGCATGGGCATTAACTACTGGATATTTGAAAAATTTTCCCCTAATTCTTATTATGCATATTCTGTCGCTTATGGCTTTGAAGTATATTACTAGGTGCTTCACTCTGCTGCTGACTATGAATCCTGTTCTAAGTTTATGCTCTGTTAGGTGTCAGCTATAGTACATTGTATATTTCTTTTTCTCGAATATTTTTTTCCCAACCATCAACCTCTTGAAGCGCTACGATGTCTATGTTATATTTATCCAGGATCTCGAGGAGTTTTCGCAATGCTCCAGTTCTATATAAGGATCTCACATTCCACGTACTTAATTGTAACTCGTTTTCCTTTTTCTCGCCAAGTCGTCGTCTAGATTTCAGTCGGGAAACTTTTTCTTGAATTTTCGTAACATGATGGTTTTTACGGTGTCGGGCTGTTAACCCTACGCCCGATCCCCAACCTGGAGGACCAGTTCACCCGCTCTCGTCAGTATCCGACCCAACTTTCCACCCGGGTTGGACACTAGATCTCCAGTTGGGTTCTCGGTTTAACAGGGGACACCAGCGTGAAGATGAGAGTCAGACTTGAGTAGGAGAGGCTAAGTGGAGTAAACTGGAAAAGCAACTCCATGTTTTCGCATTCTACCCCTTTACCCCCCCCCCCCACCCTATGTTATACACTCTCTCTTATTTAGGACATTCTTCATGAGGTACTAATTTTATCTACAGTTATCAAGGAACCTTGTTTTGGGTCTTACTCTTCTTTTCTTACCAATGGGTCTATCATAGAGCGTTTTTCTTGCTGCGTCATTTTGTTCCATCCCTATCCACCTCAGACGTCCTATCTTAATATGTTTTACGATATCAGGTTCCTGTTATATTCTATAAAGTTCGAAGATGTATCGTCTTCTCCACACTGTCATTAACAGCTCTATAGAATCGCCTTGGTACTTTTCTTCGGAACTTTCTTCTTTGTTCTCGGAACATCTTAGCATGTTTTCATTTTTTTTTGTTAGATTTCAGGTCTCTGAACCATATGTTAGGACTGGGCGAATTATTGTTTTGTAGAGTTATTTATGTAAAAGTAAAGTTCTCGAACTCTTTATCAGTATTTTTCTGGAATCTCGTGTTAAAGAGCTGATTCGGTATTCGTACCTTCGCTGGAACTCTAAAGATATGTTCGTGAACTGCTCGGTTCCTTTGAATAGACATAATTAGGCAAGCGTTTTTGTAAATGATATCCATAATATTTTAGGCGATAAATATTACTGTATTTATAATTATTAATGAGATATTTGTTATTTAGTGAGTTGTTTTTTGTTGAGTGTGGCAAACAAAATTAGTTAAATTACGCTGACTCTCTTAATTCCTGAACCCACAGCAAAACATAACATTATTCAAAAAATTGTATACGCTCCCTATGACTGACGTCAAAAGTTATTTTTCAAGAATAAAACAACGGAAGACTGAAGGTGGTGAACAAAACTCTCTAAAGTAAGCTGTTTTAATTTTAAAACTGACCTCCTCCCCATTTACTTAGCGACGAGCCGAAGCTGCACTTTACTAAAGACTATGAGAAAAGTGACCACGTTGATACATTTACTTTTGATGACCGCGTTACAGACAACAATTGTATTGTATCACAGCTAATGGTCAGTAATGTTGAAATACCGCAGAAGATATGTCATACATTTACAATTTATAGTTTTAATTCTTATATAAATATTATAATAATCGTATCAATTTATAAATTTTACCAACCTTACTATAAGAGCATGTAGTGGAGTATTTCCCAGACTATCAGGTGTGTTAATTAATTCTTTGCAGCCATGATCGAGTAATAATCTAATTGTCGCTATAGTATCTTCCGCTGACTTATGCGCCACGAGCAGTACTACATGCAACAATGTCATCTGCTGAGTGCAAGTACGAACAGTGGTGTCTGCTCCGTGATCTAAAATGGTTTAAAACAAATCAGTACAAATATATATTTTAGTAAAGTTTACAAAAGTTTTAAATGATATCACTAAAACAATTGTACTCCGACAATGCTCTTCTACTTATTTTCAAGAAAGAGCTCAAAAATTATTGAAACTAAGAACAACTTTGTTACCTTATACCGATACCCTCTCATACCGAAACTGAACTTAAAGAAAATGTAGATAAACTGGATAAAAATGTATTGACTAATCCCGCCTCCGAAGAAAATGGTGTACATGTAAATAGCGACCTAAAATCATTTTTTAAACTAATAATTTTCGCAAAGTGGCAAATTTGAAAGAACACCCCAAATAGAAAATAAGAAGTAACTAAATATAAACAACTTAGATCCAAAAAATAAAAAAAGAAGAGAACAAGTATTACAAATCTCCGTATTCGAAGAAAACACAGATATCCAAAAATTGTTTGATATTAGGGACTTTCAAATACTTCAATACAATGTAACTTTACATATTAGATATTGGTGTACAATTATTTTTTTTTACAATTGCATATTTACAAACTAGTCTACAAACCGTGTAGTAATAAGCAAATTTATTGATGCTGACATCTAGAGAGGAAGCTGCCCGGTGGCAGCTCACCAGTATTTATCTAATGGACAGCTGGAGTGTGACGTCACATCTGTCATATTGTCGTTATTACCAAAGAATATAGACGCTTAAGCTTAAGCGTCTATATTCTTTGTTATTACTTTCCAATCCAAACAAAAGTTGAAAAGACAAATCTCAAGACTTTTTAATTTTTATAAAGTTTACATTTTGTTTCCTCTGCTACTTTTTTTTTTTTCAGTGTAGTATTTTTTACGATAATACCATCACAATTCAGTGTTCTATTTCTATGAAATATAGTTTAAAAGTATACATTAAAGAAATTCTAATCTTACTTTATTGATGCATGCATTTTATTGCTATTTTTATAAAACAACATGCTTTATTATTTATACAACATGGTACAAACATTGTTGTAGTAACTATTAGAATACTTAGATATTGCAAAAAGCGGAAAGATTCTGTAAAAAAATTAAAAACTAACGAAAAATACAAATTATTCACACTAAACAACGTTTGTTTGGAAAGTGAAACTGACATCATATGTCAATCAAATCTACGTCATCACTCCGGCGGTCCATTAGATCTTCTCGCCAGTTTTTCTTATCTTCTTTCCATTACTTGTCGATTGGGCAGTCTTCTAAAAAGTTGGTTTGTATGGTATTCTCTTTGGTTTATGTGCTTTATAGTTTTTGACCGAATTACATCTTTGATAAATTGAATATTGAGATTTTCATATATGGTGTGATTTGAAACATACCATGCTGCATTGATCATAAAGGGAGGTGTTTTGTAGTGTTTTTGTGTTTGATGGCTTGTTACAGCCCCACAGTTCCACACTATATGTCAATATAGGCTTCAGGATCGCTTTGTATAGCTTCATTTATATAGTTTTAAGAGTTAGTTGTAGTGTCTTAGCTATGATATGGTCTTTTAAGTTAGTTTTGATCCAAATGCAGTCCAAGATATTTTACCACCGATTTGATTGATAAAGAGTTATTATTGATGATAGTTTGTGGGACATTACAGTGTCTTGTGGTAAATGTACTTTGTGTTGATTTAGTGGTATTAACTTTGATTCTCCACTTTGATTCTCCACAATATTATCTGCGAATGTAGCTAGAATTCTATCTCTATCTGTAGGTAGTTCTGCTCTGTATCGAAGGTACAGAAAGGCCATAGCACAGTTGCTTACTGCATTGGTCATTTTAATTTGAAAGCATCTATCTTGCAGATGAGATTTTAAGAGTAGATACATTTGAGTCGAAAATGACTTCTTCATCTTATATCATAGTCCCTCATGCCATACTTTGTCGAAGGCTTTGTGGCTTCATGCAGGTTATAATAAAGTTTACTTTCAAAATTCTAATATTCACAATAGCACGCTAATAGCCATGCGTGATTGATGCGTTAGTATAGATAAAACTACGTTTCAAAGAATGTCAGATTGAATCGTTTAGCTTCCGACATTTTTATAACATATTGAAATAAATTTGAGATGAAACATTAATCATTAAACTTATGATAACAAAGGGTAGTGTTCCTTAAAATTAAATTGGATTAAATTTAATAATATTGGAAACACTTTATATAGAAACATAATTTTATTTTTTTAAATAAAACATACATAAAATAGATTTTTTTAATATATTTTGAAACTATATTTTGTCATTTTTATGTTAACTACTATTTATCCACCCTTTTGCTGCGGAGAGCGCTCATGTGCGTTCCAAAAAATTATACCTTCCCTATTTTGATATGCAGCAAATTTTATTTTAACTAAAGTGTAGTAATTGGTAAATAAAAAAGACTAGCTATGAAAAAACTTACCTATTAAGAGTTCGAGAAATTTGCTGTCATGCAAAACCGCGTAGTGGATAGGATAATATTCATCTTTGAGGAGGTGTATCTCATCTGAACGTTCTCGTATCAAATACTCTGTACACTTCCATGCTCCTCTCTCGCAGGCAGAATGTAGTAAAGGTTTTCTTGCACGGAATATACCATTCTAAAAAAAGTAATCAATAAGAGTGCAGTCTTTTCAGTTTTTGTAGTCTGGATTAGGTAGCTTTTGAGCCATATGTGAATTCTGCTCAACATTTTGCTACATTAATATGAATTAGGATATTCAATCAACGATATAAGACAAAAATTTCTACATCTTACTATTAATAGCTTAAATAAAATTTGTGTTGCAGTTGTCTTTCATTGACAAAAGAATAATCATCAAAACTTTCCATTTGTAAATACTAATCTATAACCGACTATTGTAGCGTTATTGTAGCGTAAATTTTTATAATACGTCCGTTTGTTTATCTCGTCAGTACGCAGAAAGATTGCCAAGAAATCTGTGTTTGTCTTTTACGAAAATCTTAAATGCGTAAATAACGCTGGAAATATTTTTTTGTCTATGTTTACTTTCAAATCCCATAACCTTTTGTTACATTGTCCAATTTGAAAGTAACTATTTCAACATTTTTTTTGTCACCGAAAACGATTATATTACATGAAGCCACCCAATTTTGTTGTGGAAAAAGAGGTTTTACTTGTCTTTTGTCGTTAAAAACGTAATAAGCTGGAATATCTAAAAGTTGTTTTTGCCGTTTAGAACGAGGGTCCGAGGTATTTTGTTTGTTTTAAGTTTGTGGATGACGGACTAACTGAGGAGAAAAGGGGGAGTTATTGTGGCATCGAATTTAGATAATGTAACGCAGTAAAGAGTCAAGCTAAGGGAGTCGACGATTAAGTTTGAAGCAGAGCAGACGTGTTGCAATGAAGTCGAACAATAGATTTGAAGCTAGGTAGACGCTTTTGCGAAAATAGAATATTGGGGCAATTTTGAATCAAAAAGTTGATTCAATTGTTTTTTTTTTGTAATGTTTTTAGGACCAGTCAATATAATAATACTCTTGCATGAGCACTTTTGATAGAGTAGTTAGTCATTCTGTCCTGTTTCTCCTTCTCCTATATGGAGAAGGAGAAACAGGACCTTCGATCCTTAAATCGAAGATAGAAGATGCCATTGCAGCACTAAAAAATAATAAGTCAGCAGGCCTGGACAATGTACCCTGCGAAATATTAAATATCCTATGTAAATCAGACAAACAGTTCCTTGATAATTAGTTGTACTCTTTAACAACATATATAATAACGGCAAAATCCCGGAGAACTGGCTGCAGTCAACATTTATTACAATCCCGAAGAAAGCAAATGCCCAGATTTGTGATGACTACCGGCTTATAAGCTTGATCAATCATGTCACTAACGCGTTCACTAAGATCATTCATAGAAGAATATATGATAAATGTGAGTCAAATATTGATAGATCGCAGTTTGGTTTTCGGAAAGCACTTGGAACTAGAGAAGCAATTTTCGCTTTCCAGGTGCTTATACAGCGGTGTAGAGACGTTGATAAGGACGTGTATTTGTGCTTTGTAGATTTTAGAAAAGCATTTGACAATGTCAATCATGAACAATTGATAGGTATTCTGCGAAAGACAGGTATTGATGACAAGGACATTCGAATTGTGGCAAACCTATACTGGGGTCAAACAGCAAGAGCAAAAATTGGCAACGAACTCACTGAAAGCGTGCAGATCAAAAGAGGTGTCCGTCTGGGGTGTATATTATCCCCACTCCTATTCAATATGTATTCCGAGGAAATATTTAACAAATGTATGGAAAATGCAAATGAGGGCATAAAAATAAACGGCGAGTTAACGAACAATATAAGATATGCCGACGACACGATGATCCTTGCCAGTACCATAGACGAATTACAACAAGTAATGGAAAGACTTTATTCAGTTAGTGAGGAATACGGCCTGAGCCTCAACTTCAAGAAGACAAAGTGGATGCTGATAAGCAAAAAGCAACAACCTGCTCGACAATTACGGATAAGTAACATACTAATTGACCATGTAGAATCTTATGTGTACCTTGGCACCAACGAATGCAAAATGGGAACAGACCATAGAAATTAAGGCGAGAATAGAACGAGCTAGAGCAGCATTTAGCAATACGAAAAAGCTCCTCATAAGCAAGGATTTGTCTCTTCCCCTAAAACTACGTCTAGTTAAATGCTACATTTTTCCGATCTTGCTGTATGGCGTGGAGGCCTGGACGCTGACGGAGACACTAACGAGAAAACTAGAAGCATTCGAAATGTGGGTGTACCGACGCATTCTTCGTATATCCTGGACCGAACATGTCACCAACATAGAGGTACTCCAAAGAATCGGAAAGGAGAAAGAAATCGTGAATACAATTAAACAAAGAAAGTTTGAATATCTAGGCCACATATTGAGACACGATAAGTACCGTCTGCTACAATTGATTGTCCAGGGAAAAATAGACAGTAAGCGAGGGCCAGGCAGGAGAAGACACTCGTGGCTCCAAAATCTGCGGAAGTGGTTCGGGCTCACATCGGTCGAACTATTCAGAAGCGCCGCAAACAAGATCAAAATTTCCATGTTAATAGCCAACGTTCGCAACGGACAGGGCACTTGAAGAAGAAGAAGAAGTTAGTCATTGGAAGATTTGAATAGATACTGGAAGTTTTTGAAAAGATTAGTATATAGGATGTCCCATCAGCAGTGTTATCGATTGCTAGCTTGATTCCTCTACTAAAACTGAGTTTCTGAGTATGGAAACGGTTTCCTTGTTCCTGTTAAAGAATATGCCCAAGTAGCAATCCCAGAGATGTAGCAAGTTTTTTCTTTTTCAAAGTTAAGTTCAAAATTTTGTGAATTAAGGTAACAATTTGATATATTAATTTTCTTTCACGTTATATAGCCATTTTAATAATTGCTTTCATTAAAATAAAACATTTTGTAATAAATAAAGTTTTATATTATGTTATGAATCGTAGCTAAAAAATAACATATTTTATTTTGATTTAAAATGTTATGTTGACAGATGACATTTGCTCTAATTCATTGTTATTGTAAGACAATTTTAATTTCATATATAAGGTTAAATTCTACAGTATTTTCATAAAAAGGATATCCATAAGTTTTTTGATAATCTAATTTGGCCCTATTATAACCTAGGAACCATTTCAAGAATTTTTGTAGCCATTTTCTTTTGTAAACAAATAACACGTAAGTTTTTGTTAATTTGTTATATAGTATGCTCTTGTATAATATGTATTTTTGAAAACTGTTTGTTTGAGACAAAAATAAACGTTCGATTTGTATGTCTATTCCATTTTGTGTTTTAATTTAGAAAAGTCTCCTGATCCTTGTATGTAATTTTGATTGTAGGAAAGAAGAATTTTTTTTCTTTTCCAGCAGGAAGTTTTCTTCAAAGCGGCGTCCGAAAAGAAAATAGCTAGAGGTAAATTTGTCTGCCATATCTTATTCCTTTATGACCTAGGAGATTTATGTAAGTATTCCTTTAATTTCATTTAGTAGATACCCCAATCCGACCCAAATTTATTTCAACTTATCCACGACCCAGCTCTCCAACAACCCTCTGAGTGTCGTACGCACTAGTTTCGACTATTTCGTTTGCCCAATCTTCTCCCCCATGTTCTTACCCTGAGGTAAGCAAAATAGTTCGTTACACTATAAAATTTCGAAAATAAACATTTAAACCTTCGTTTTCAGCTTTATTGTGTTACTAAGCTGGATGTGAATATATTTTTTTAAGTTACAATTAATAATGACTATGAACACGTGTGATTGGTTGTATAATAATTTCCAACCATTTCCAATCGGTCCAAATTTAAACAACGTAGTAAAAAATCATTAAGATTAGACAGTTAAAACTAGGTTAAGGGAACCAAGTATAAGAAACTATTAAATGAGAAAATTTACCCATGGGTCCTCTCCTCTCTGCGACAACATCGTTAATATGTTAACCTGATCGCCATCCAAGGCATAGTATAAAGCTGACTGCAGTTTATTATTGGGTGCCCGTTCCCGACTATCTCTTTCTATGCAGGTCTCTTCATGCTGGACTGCAGTTGCTAGAATGATATCAATTCATTATACATCTATTCTAACAAAAGATTATATTCAGTTAACAATAAAATAGATACAGGCATATATTTATAATTTTTTATCAATCGATGTACTGCTCTATCTACATATCTAAACATAGACCTCCCACTATCTTTAAATTTATTTAACCTGAGCAGTAATAGATACAATTAGCTTTAAATTATATAATCATCATATTAGTGAAGTTTCTTTGCTTCTCTCGGTATCAATTGCTGCAATTAAGTTTTTGTCGTCGAAGTGCTTGCATGAAGTTATTTGTATCATCTTTTCTCTGGCGAAGAGAATAGACACATGGTTAGAATGACGGAGTTGTCAAAATGATGTACAGTGCCGGCACCTACTGTACAGCTTGCGGACAGTAATTTTTTTTATTTTCGTGTTGTGTTTTTTAACCAGACATTTCAAAGTTGCGTGCAGGTATAAGCAGTGATCTCATCCAAAATAAACCAATAAAAAATAAAAAAAAAAAAAAATTGGCACAAAAAGTTTCTGCATCAACAAATAATGCAAAACGGTTTTGTCGGTCGAAATTTAGTCAAAATCAAAAAGAAACAACCCCTTTTGGAAATAAACAAAGTGGTTTTTCATAAAGATCCCTACATTGGAAACAAAACAATATAAAATGCAGAGCTTTTGTTACTGCAAAAGAAATACAAGAAACGGATGCTTTCTGGCATTTCGGCATCTAGCAGTAATAACTGCTTAATCTTCCGCCTAAAACCTATGGAATTATTTATCTAATTACTTTACAAGTCCAGGAGCTGCTCTTCCATGACAATGAAATATATTGTAAAGCTTATTTTGTACTATTGTATTTGTTTATTTGGGTTTATATGACTGCAGATACTGAATCCATTCGCCAATCTCACAATTTTTACTCATTTATTCATTAGTCATTGTTTCGAATACAATCTTATCTTAAATCTAATACTAGTATTGATCTCTAATAATCTTTTTAATCTAAATAAAACACATATAAGAGTATAGAATTGTGGTAATCTGAAAACTGCATATAGCATGCAAAATTAGTGTGAAAAGAATAGTATGAGGTTGTTCTGCTAACAGAGAGGCCGAATATAGTATGAAATTAGTAACGATATACGAGCCTGTTTTTAACACCCAGTAGATTGAATTCTAGTTTTGTCAAAGTGACATTAAGTTTGATAACGGAAACGTCAAATATACGTTTATTTTTTTCATTAGTAATAATTTTGGTTTTATTAGCAAAAAAACAGAATAAAGAAATTGTTATTTTAAGTTTCAAGGAAAATGGTAACCTTTACAAATGAACATAAAGTTCAAATTATTAAATGGCATTATTCTGGAAGTAGTGCCAACGATATAATCGGTGGATTTTCGTTTTTATTAGAAGGCCCTGTACCAACAAAATCTACAATTTACAACACTATTTTTAAATTTGAAAAACTGGTTTGTCAAGAATTGCAAATAAAATGCACGGATAGTGATGAAGATGAAAAGAAAGAGAAAGAGAAACTGGTATTAGTACTTGACCTGTACGAAATATTAAAAAAAAGAACAAGCACCATTGCGACAAATTGCAAAAAATCAGCAGGGAAATTTTCCCTGCTGATTATAAACGATGGAGGGTATTTTGTGAGGACATAATGGAAGGCACTAATTGTGAAGAAAGTTTTCATGAAAAAAATCTTGTTTACAGATTCTTCTTTTTCTTTTTAATTCATCACAATCCATCTGTTACTGTAGGGCACTCTACAGAAAATAGGCACATAAGTGTTCCTTACAAAACACAATATCGTCAAAAAGTCAACGTCTGGGCTGGTATTTCAGGTGACAACGTAATTGGCCCTTTTTTCATTGTGGGCACTTTGTGTCGTCGTAAATACCTAGATCTCGTGAAAAATCACATAATTCCAGCAGTTAGAGCATTACCTATTAATATGGATGAAATTTGGTTGCAGCAAGACGGCTGTCCAGCTCACAATGCACGGAAGGTGTTAGATTTTTTAACCATTACTTTTCCAGATCGAGTTATTAGTACAAAAGATAGCATAAACCTCGCTCTCGTGATCTTGTAACTGTGCACTTTTTCGTATGGGGTTATGTAAAGCAACAAATTTACCGACATGAGCATGAACGTGCCGAAAATTTAGACAAATTACGTCAAAAACTCATTCAGGCCTTTCAAAGCATAACACCCGAAATATTGTCCAACGCCTACAGGCAATTATACAATAGATTGGGCTATTGCTTGGCTAAACGTGGGGTAATTTTTGAAAATTTAATTTAAAATAGTTTTAATTAAAATTATAAAATTGTTATTTTTTAGAATAAACTGTTTTAGTTTATATCGTTAAGAATTTATTGTTATTTTTTATGAATTAAGATTAGAGAAACTGTCGATTTAATCTAAGATATGAACCTGCTTTTAAATCGTGGTTGAAATATTTCCCCAGACCATCTAAAAAATATACTTTCTCTCGGCAACAATGTACAGACAGAACTGCCCATAGTGCTTACGGGGCTATCACAAACATGTGGTTACATCTCTAGGACATACAAGTCTATATAATATTTTTTCTCAGTTTCTTGCGTTGTCTTAATGCCCTTTAGTCAGATTTTTTTCCATACCTGTATATACTAAATATATACCTGTTAAATTTAATTCTCTTCCAATAGCATTCCAAGTCTGTTTCGTGGTGTCTGCGGATATGCATTCAATTTAGTATAGTAAGATAGGGATGTTGTTCCACTTGTACTAATTTTATATTCAACGAGTGTTCTGTCAGTTTTGCCATTTCGCGCGGTAATTTTAACTAATAATATTCAGGGCCTCTGCACATTAAGCAGCTAAAAAGAAACCAGTTGTAAACTTTAGTTGCCAATCAGTTGGTTATTAGTTACTGTTCATGTATTTTAATGAGAATCCACACACAGCCCTACTAGTTAGTAACCGGCTAGTAATGTGTTAGTCATCAGTCGACTGTGACTGGAGGTGGACTGTAGTTGTTTCATGTGCGAAGTGCTAAAGTGAATCAGTTTAAAAACTTTATTGGCGTTCATAAATTTCGAGCTTTACATTTGAGGTACTCTTGAGCGCATTGTATATTTCGAGTGTGGACTTAAGCTTGGCACACAATATGTGTGTACACAAGAACCTTTTAGAAACTAGCATTACATTTAAATATATCTGTACATATTAATACCCGTGATAATTTGGTAAGCTTATTGCTAACAACTTAAAAATGTATACTTACAATATTTTCCCCTTTCTTCACAGTTACTGCTGTGAGGACCTGGCCAACACATTCTAACCTCCACATCTGATTTGGCACCATGCTTTAACAATAGCTCTACACATTCATCATGTCTACAAATAATAAACATTAATACATATCCACATATGAAGGCGAATAAATTACTAATTTGTAATCTGTCTAGTACAGCTCTTCTACATTTAGTCAATCTGGATTGATGTTAGATCACATATACATATATACAGTTAATCATACACAACATAGATATGATTATACACAACAGCACTAGCATAGAGAAATCATAATATACCTTATGGTGGAACCTCTTTATACTGTGACGTAAGTTACATAGTAGTTAGTAAGAAAGGTTAAACTACAGGCCAACTACAACACAACAAAGAAATAACTATGAAATGAAAAATGAACTAAAAAAAATCAGAAGATGACGAAGACGACAAGGAAAAACAATAAAGAGAAGAACAAATTAAGAAACGCAATGTAAAATCAGGAAGACAAAAAAAGGAAAAGTATAACAGTCATTTATATAAAATAATTTACAAAAAAGAATAAAACTTTAATGGGATTCAGAAAAAAATTATATCATTAAAAGAACCATTTTTATATTTATATAGAATTGAAGAAAATTAATAAAAAAAAGTAGTAATATCAGAAGGATAATAAACGCAGCAATTGATTTATTGTTAAGGATTTAAGAAATCAGTAATACATTTCAACCATGAAATTTACAATAGCGAAGTTATGTCTATTTATTTATTTATATATTAACGGGATACCACCCAATTTATTTTATACACAAAGTATTACAAGTATTATCTAGTGATACAATAATTATAAAGATAAACAAATATTAAAATTATATAAAGCACATATCAAATATAAATCACATAAAATTACAATTTTTTTTAAACACATTCTACAGACATTTTCCGAAGCGCACAGCAACAAATCAAAGTCTATTCTATTTCCATTTAGAATGATTCTACCCAGTGGAGAATGCCTACCAAAGTTAGAGCGATGAAATTTAATTGCAAAATTTTGAGATGTTCTAGTAACTCTAGAGGGAACATTAAAGTCAGTTAGAGACAGTAGATCATTGCAATTAATTTTTGAATTCAGTAGTTTATGAAGAAACAAAACATCAGCATACATCCGTCTGGAAGATAGCCTAGGAAGGTTTAATGTATTTCTAATTTCTGAGTAGGAATGGTCGCTTAAAGGTTTGTGTAATTTAAAACTTAAGTACCTGTCAAAGGAATAAAATAAAAATAAGTGATAATAAAAGGTGTGGAATATATTGAAGAAAAAAAACTTAATATAAAACTTGGGTAAATCATGCTTCACAAGAGAAAATAGTAGAGAACCGAAGAAGAAAGTCAAAACTTGGAAGGTTAAAAATAGATTTTTATTGTGTAACATATAAACTTTCAAAAGAAAACGTTCGTAATTTGATCCAAAAGTGAAGTGTTAATTATATTTTTATATTATACAACAAAAACCTTACCCCTTTAAGCAGGCTATATGAAGAGGCAAGCTGCAAGGAAACCTATTGACATCAGCGGCACTGTGTCTGGCTAAAAGCCAGCGGACCAACTCAACATTATTGGCTCCTACACATTTTTGAAGCAAGTTGTAACCAGTCTCATCGTGAATTGCTAATATATTTTCATTCTGAAACATTAAAAAATAAAAAAAAACGTTGAGGAAAACTCTGCTGAAGAACAGTCCACCTGCAGTTGATATTCTCCTGGGTAAGATGTCAAAGATGTGGGGAATAAATTGTTTACCCACAGCACACATATACAGGTGCCATTAGTTTTAGGAACAAAAATATTTTGCTAGAATTCACTTTAAATAATAATTTAATTAATACTACAACTGACAGCAAGCCACATTTCAAAATAGTACTAAAGTTCAAAGTACTAACATTAGGAACGCTAAAGTACCAATGCTATAATCTCTGACGGCTGTAATGATAAAATATTAATAAGATTAATTCTAGGAATAAGTATAATTTTGATGATAAAGATATTAGTAATAAAAGTAGCAGTTGGCAAAGAGATGGAAGTGATGGGAATAAGTTAAGAGATAGGGAGAAACAGATTACTAATATAAGTAAGAATAGTACAGCAAAACAAAGAGACAATATGGGAATCTATAATAGAGGTGCTTGGATAGAGGTAATGGAGTGTGGAGAATGCAATACAACTTCGAACTTTATAGAATATACTGGGAATCAGATATTATAAAATATGTTAAGATAAGACATCTGAGGTGGATAGTGCATGTAATGCAGATGGAACAAATTGATGCAGCTAGAAAAACAATCCTTGGTAGTCCCATTGGTCAGGGAAGAAGAGAAAGATCCAGAATAAGTTCACATGATAACATCAATGGAAACTTGAGAAATATGAGAATCTGTGCTTAGCTAGGGACAACAGACTTAAGAGAAATTCTTAAGCAGGATAGGACCCACACAGCGTTGTAAGGCCATAAATGATGATGATGAATGAAATCATCATACATATTTTTTAATGACTTCTGGACTATTTGTTATTGCTTACACATTAAACAAATTAAAGCAAAACAAATAAACTCTAAAAACTAAGGAGCAAAATGCAAAAATCCAAACTTTGGAAGCAAAACAGATAAAATCTATTTTCAAAATATTAATTGAATCCCTTAGAAATTTTTTGAGAACTGACGATTTCTGCACAATAACTTACTTAAACACCTAAACATATTTTTGCCCTTTTCTCAAAGGTTACACCTTTGAACTTAAGGCATTTTGCTTTTAAGCACCCCATTATAGAAAAATTAAGTGCATACTTTCATCTTCTTTGTCTTCTCTTATCACTAATGAAAACATACAATGCAATAATAGAAGAAGAAATAGGAATAAGAACATAGAATATAATATCGCTAAAAGGAAAAGTGATATTGAACTGGCAGTTAACTAGGTAAAAATATTACACATAAGAAGAAGGGAAATATAAGCTGGCAAATAACAAATAAACATCAGATTTAAAAGTCATTAAAAGATTCAAAGCTTATTACACCAGACAATAGTTTGCATACCTGCATGAAGTTATAAGGAAACACAGAGAACTCTTTGTTAAAAAACAATTCAACTTTTGGATGCAGAGAAAATCATTAGACAAACTTTAACTGAAATTTCGCAAAAACAACTTTAAATGGCATCTGGAAAACACTATATGTGAACTCGTAGAAATGCATGACCAAGAGCACAATATTGAAGAGCTGATTGATTAGAATCAGTTCAAATAGAGGATCAAATGACAGTGGGAAACTTGACTGAAGGCCTCGCTTTAATTGGAAAAGCGCATTTCTTCTATAAAATAAGGAATAAAAAATTCTTAGGCTGCTAAGACGAAACTTTAAGGCAAAACAGATCTGTAAGTCATCCAACTAGTTTGTAAGATTTTATAAAGCCTTTATACTTGTATATCCCAAGATTTTAATAAACATTTTTTGTGTAAATTCTGAAAGAAGATAAAACTAAGTAGGGAAATATATCGATATATGATATAAAGAAGAAATCAATATAAGAATACCAACATAAGAAAAAAGAAAGAGTTCCAAAAATTAGAAAGTTATAAAATCAAAAGAAATCTAGAAAAAGAATGGAAAATATTCAAAGTGAGAAGAAGTTTAATTATCTAATTCTTGATTAATCTATATTGATTAATAGGGACTTGGCAATACAGCAAAACAGCTTCGTAACCCTATATAAACCTAATATATATGGACACAATTTATCGAATTCCTAAATATGTTTGTGCTATTCACAATATAGTCATCCTACAGTCAAGATAACTTATTAGGTAATAATTTTATAACTTGACATGCTTTGAGATCCAAATGTGCTACATTAAGGGATTTTTATACAGTTAATTTTGTTTTTTATACTTGACTTAAGATAGCCTAGTAATAAAAGCGATAAATCATTATACTTATATGTAGTATTAAATTTTGGATTATTAAATTTAGGTGAAATATTCAACTAAATGTGTTAAACATGCATGGCAAAAAATATACTGTGAAAATAAGTTATGATTAATCCAATACTTAATTATGACAGGTCTGTAGATTACAAGAATTTACATTGAGAAAAAGATTCAAACACAAAGAAAAAATGTGAAAAAATCATGATCTTGACCGAAAATAAAAGTCAAAGGGAAACATAAAATATGTATTATTATATAAGTGATATTTGAAATATATGAATTTTTTATATGAAGTTTTACCCTTGGTAATTGCTGTAACAATCCCTCTAGTCTCTGCACTCCAATCTTGGGATTGGCTCTAAGGGCATCAAAAATCGTCTGCACCTTTTGTCTCGTTGAATCAGAAATTTTGTGACCATGTCCATTAGTCAGTAAAGCACTACCAGATTGGAACACCTGACTCACTTGTCCACCCATTTTTATGGTAAAAATCCTGTAGAAATATTTTTAAAATAAAGACCACCTGGCAGACATTTAATCAAGAAAACGCTTACTTTATATATTTAGTTCAGTTTAAACCATGAGGATTCATTGCCATCCCTTTTGTAAGATAACAAAAAAAATTGGAAACATCTTGTCTCACAATGGAACAATAGGTGTTCCCAATATTAACATTTATAATAAATTATAAACACTCACTTCTATTTACCCCACGGCACTATTATTCCATATTTAATGCAGTATAAATAGTTCAATTTGTTTTAAATGACAATTAATAATATTTATTAATTCCACTCTGTTATTATTTGCGCAGAATGAAAATAAATCAATAAGAGGTGCTGAACTCTGTTGTTTGACATTTTAAACATTTTCTTATTTAAACTATCACCTACTATTTATGCAACACGTACTACCAATTAAAAGCGACAGCGTTTTGGTAAAGTAGTCAGTTATCAATAGATAGCTCTGTAAATCCTAGTTTCTATTTGTGAATTGTTAGGATATTACATTTTCTATAAAATAAATTATCTATTTGCCATTTATTGGTCATATCTCACCATACCGATATTAATATTAATTTAATAAACATTTCTTACTGTGTACCTATTATAACTTGTTCCTATTAAAATATATAGATGGCCTAACTGCTAGATAATTAATTCAGTGCCAATAATGTTCTGTCTAAAAATAATTATAACACTGCGGTGATCAATTAATGATAGTCATTTGTTTTTAGTCTATTATTGATTCCTTAAATGACCTTTTTCCAGCAGTAGAATAAATTATAATTTAAGGACACCTGTTTTATTACCTGGTACAATGTTGCCAGACGAACAGAGTTTCTTTTTGTAAAATTTCCTTACTTCCAAAATAAAAAAAAAGTTTTCAGGTTCAAATCAAAAATTATGTCTAAATATAATTAAAATAAAGATATACAATAAGTAATAATACATGCACTCTATATAATAATAGTTTAACTGATTAGGTATTCCTACAACTAAACGTAAATACAAAATTGTATCAAAGGTAATATAGACTAATTCCGAGCATAAAAATATAAACTTTTAATAAGTTTACAAATAGAAATATAAAATCGTTACATGCAAAAAATTAAACAAATATATTTTTACAAATAATTGACAATTATCGATATTGTTAAAAATTATGAATACTCTTATATTTATTAAAAATCTGGCAATGTTGACAAAATTTACCTGTCCCACCTGTGAAATAGTTTGACACTAAAGAAAACATGAAAACAGTGTCTTGTGATTTCTAGTGGGATGAAAACAAAAAATTCAAAACAAATGTGCTAAGTTACTGGTTAAGAAATGTAATTTTTTGTAAGTTATTTTTAACTATAGTTTCGCAAAAATGAGTGACTCGGAGACAGCCAAACCGACGGAGGAAGTTGTTCTACCACCGCCTATTTCCACACAAACAGAACCAAGTCCACCGAAAATTCAAAGCAAAAAAAACTGGGTGAAATTTGATGAAGATCGGTCTGCAAATAAAAATTCCGATACAGCAGCTGTTATTAATACGGAAAGTGTCCAAGTGAATATTGAAAGAAGCCTTAACAGATCAATTGATACAAATAATGTGGCTATATTGGATCCAAAACCTTTAAGAAATGTAGAATTACCTGTGGCTACAGTCGAGCCCATCCGACAAGGATTTAGTAAGTTTTTTTTTAAATTCTTAACTTTTTTGGAAGTGGCTACTGTTACATCTTTGTGTTGGTTGGAATATGGGTCTAATAATTAATGGCGGGGAATTCAAAATTTCTAGATTAAAACAAAAAAAAAACTATTATCTCCTAAACAGTGTCCTTTAGTTTCTTTTTAAATCACAGAAAAGCTTTAGAGCTTTATGATAAAAAAAATACTTTAAATCTTTAATTTTGAGATTTAAATTCTTATCTTTTATAATTTTACACTAAGTAATGGCCAATTTTATAAGATTTTGTTTGATTTTCATAGTCATCCTTTAAACCATAAAATAGTATCTCCCTCTACCAAAGGAAATTTTAATCATGCTCTGTAAAATTTGTCTGACATTTTTGCCACTCTTGACTTCTGCACTGTTGAGAATTGAGATTTTCATTGTTTGATTTCACCTTGTAAATTACTGGAGTTCTGCTCTTTGCTATGTATTTAGCTTTCAGTAATAATTCTCTTTTAGTAATAATTTTTAATTTTAGATGCTTATATATTACAATTGGATTTACATAAATCTTATATATATATGATTGATATACAGTCATTTGACACATATTTATTTACACAAGTTAACATCTTGAGTTTCCCCAAATTATGGCTAAGAGTTCAATTTCTTCACTTTTTCAAATGTCTTTACAGTGGTAACCAATTTTTATAAAACATGATTACTTAAGTATATTTTTTTATTCAGACCTACATTTTGTTTTTTTACTATTCTGTTAGATCCTAGTTGGAAATATAAGCTATTTTCACATCTGCTATTAATGCTGCATATGAAGTCTTATTTTTATTTACCAGGGTGTCCTTATCACTAACGAGCCTTAATTAAATATCTAGTCATTATTACATTCAGCTATCACATATAGATACTTTATATCTTATATTTATTTATTTATTAGGGTTTTCTACATTTTATGGTTTTGGCCATTGAATTGAATTTTTATCCTCTGCTATGAAGGTATTTTTACCTTTTTAGTGACCCAGTCATATGATGATTTAGGATGTTTGTGTTGTAGGTTATCTATATCAGATATTCTTCCCTATAAAATCCAGTTTATCAAATGCAATTTCTTTTTCGTCTAATTCCAAATTTAAATATTTTGTAACTATATTGAATTTATTTTTGCAAAAGCCTTATATTATTAAATGGCAAATATTAAACAATTTTAAGTCTCACATGTTTTTTTTGTTTTACTTTCTGCAGGCCAATTGGCTTGGCGTGTGTTGTGTAATTGACTTGTTACTAAGTAAAGCAGGCTTTATTGTTTTTACAAACCATGATTTATTATATCTAAATATCCCATGAGGATTTGTGAATTCATGACCACTGAGTCTTGTATGTTCAATGAGGTGCTCTTACTCTATTGTCATGTACCTAATTCTGTTTATGTACACATGCAAGAACCATGTACAAATAATTATTGTGACTGTTTGGCCTCCTTCACTTAAAGTTGACATTTTTCATTGACATCAAATGCCATTTTGTGATATTGTTTTTCAAGGTTACTACCAAAGAATATAGAGGCATATAGAAGGACAGTCCAAATTAGTGTTGGCTAGTGAGTCGATGTTTCGAAGCAATGAGATGAGTCCCAGAACTGTTTCAATGTTTCGATTTTTCGATACATTAAACGTTGACTGTTTCGAAACACCGAGTCAGTACATGTCATATCTGATAATGATAAGTTTTCATTTAAAAATGATAATGAAAATATATACAACCGAGAAAAAAAACCTAATGAAATAAAACCAGATAAATATATCTAACCTACACCTAAAACAATAAATTTGTGCTTAGCAAGCTCAAATCCCTAATCATCCAACAATCCTCATAACAATACTTTCGTCACATTGCTGTCACATGCCTTACAGAACATGAATTTGCATTAAATATTGTATCTCTGCATAACGACCGACAATGAATTGTTATGATATGACACATATGAAATTACAGTATTGGGTAAAATGTGTTAATTGTTTCAATGTTTCGAATCATTGTTTCGAAACATCACAGTGAGTTAATTCAAATGATTCAAACATTCAAATGAGTCATTTCGCCCATCACTAGTTCAAATGGGCGATTTGGTCACGGTTGTGACTGCATAAACTCAAACTGTGGCCGCTGGCTTAAAACCATCATCAAAGATGTAGTTAAGGAGATGTGGGAAAGGAGTACAAATGGAGCAATTTATATAGCATGCATCTACATGTAATCAAATTTCAATGCTATTGATTTGCAAACTGTCTTTTTTGTTGTTTTGTTTGACAACAAAATCTTTATTTTTACCTAATATATTAAATTGGTAAATGTTTAATTTTAAAACTTAAAAAGGTATAATATTTACAATATTCAAAGTATTTATTTTTTTTATTACATTTAAATAAAATTTTACATAACATACATAACATTTTTATTATACTGTTTTCCTGCCCAAAAATTTACGAAACATTTTTAAAAAATTTCAAAATTTTTCAACCAAAAATTTAATTTTTTCAGAACTTTTCATCAAACTTTTTAGACAATTTTGACTTCTGTCCTTTAATTTGCAAGATTGTCATTCCACCAGGGTACTTTCCCGTTGAAATTTCTCACTATATAAGACAATTATTCTTAAGCGCTGACATGACAATGAAATTGCACGGCGGCCATGTCTACATTCAATGTATGCCTTATCGTCCCTTTAATCTTACCTAAACAATATTCCAGGTCTGCTTGTTTGCTGCTGCTGCAGTTTGTTTTACGAGGATTGCGATAAGTTTCCTTGATATGCTCATTGCTTGTCTCGATGGTCTGAACAAGACACATCATCTAAAGCCTGCCATTTTTTAACAGTTTGGTATTTGTATTCAGGTCAGATAGTCAGATAGTAGGCATTCATATCATAGCCAATGATTAATTGCAGTTCATTTTTCATGCAATCTCTCACTAACTGTTCCAATTCCCTTGATGGTTGTTCGGGATCATCATATGGAAGGTATGCTGATCTGAGAACTATCCTTCATAACTCCTTCCTCTAAAACCTTTATCTTTACTGTCGTTTAGTCTGTAGAACAGAGATCACAACTAGTCTTCTGTGTTAAGGTCTTGATTTTGCCTGGGTCCTGATAGTTTCTTCATCAAGTTTTTTCGCGGGTGAGGACCATGGCGCGCTTGGGCATATTATTTGGAACAATTATATTTAAGTTTACTTCCTTCAATAGTTTTCACTACTTCAGTTGTCCATTTTTTTTGTATACTTGTTAACACAGTTCACCCACAGGGTCCCTTAGCTAAATGATGTTTTATGGAACTGCAGAAGTTTATTTTGACCTCAGATAGGTCATCAAGTGCTTGCTCCAGTTTGTTAATGATTAAATTTGCTTGAGCCCGATCTAGTTGAGTATCAGGAGGGTGTCTGTGTGCTACCACCATTCTGAATACTTTTGTCATGGTGCTTTATGACCTAGTCTGCTCGTTAGAGGTTTCTTAGCAACTCTTTTACGGGGGGTGATGGTATTCTCCCGAAATCTCTTTTATCGTCGGGTGTTGCTGATTTGGATTTCTTAGGATTTGCTATGGTCTATGTCCCAGTAGCTCTTATTTTGCTTTGTTGAGCTCTAGTGAGGCGTTATTTGTAACTTATTTATTTTTTAATTTAAAAATCCGAAATTATACTTCACAGTTTCGAATTTTCAAATTGTAAAAAAAATAAAGCAATTCTAGGGTACTAACAAGATCAGGAATTGTTTTTTGATCGAAACACCTTACAATTTTTTGAGCTTTATCTCCCGGTGATTGACTTTTAATTAATTTTATTTATAGCTACTTAATACGAAGAGAGTTTTAATTATATTATTTGTGGATTTGTACATATTTCAATTAAAAATTTGAATCATAAAATTTTTTCTAAAAAGATTCATTTATTAAAAGGTAAAATAATATTGTTACGAACATGTAAACAAATATATTTATATAAATTCGAACCGCTCGTTTTATTTAATCTCGCTACAATATTATTTTCTTCAAAAACATTTTATAAGTCGCAAAAATTTAATCCTATACTACGATCACGCGGCATCTACATATAAAAATATCTAAAGTTGCATTTGTTGCCCCACTCTTTCATATTTTAGAAGCAATAATAGTTCTGATATGACCGCTCCCTAGTGGTACTAAAATCTCAATCCACCTGTCATGTTTCATAACGTGCGATCAACTATTGCCGACGCTCAAAAATAACAGAAATTCGCATGTCCGTAAAAAATAATTACCAATGGTACCAAACCATACGATATGCATTTTAAACATGAATTTTAAATAAACGTATGGTTTGGAACCATTGGTAATTATTTTTTATGGACATGCGAATTACCTTGTAATTTGAATAGTGAGATTTATTTATATTTTTATATAAAATGATTTTATTGATTTATTGGAAAAATTGTCATCAAATTTAATGCGAAATATTTTATGCAAGATGGTACACCACCAGATTATAGAGAGAGGGCATTGAGAACATACTGAGATATTAATATAATTAGTTAATGCACAAAAATTCCAAAAGAATACTTATTATTATACTTATTGGGACCGTGCAAGTTCGGAATAGCGACACCTGGTGTTGTAAATCAGCAAAATTTACTGCGCTTTTATGTTAGATCGAGGTAACCGGATAACTGTCAAGGACGTGGCCCCAAAAAAGAATAAGAAGAAAAAGTAAGATTGAGGTTATGTCGGTATGTTATTAAAAGGTAAACGTTGATGTAGCGTAAATACAAATAAATATATTATTTAATTACACCATTACTGTTAATATGGATTCAATAATCAAAACTGGATTTGAGAAAGTAAATCACCAAATAACTTTTCAACCAAGCACTGAGTCAAAGGGAAAAGTTTTAGTAGTGGCAAATGTCAAAAACTAATGAAAGAATTAAGAAAAATAAATTACCATAAATAATGCTAATGCATAAATTAGCA